TCCTACGATTACGGCATGAGGCTTTTGCAAATATAATTAGAGTTCCAAAGTAGTGGACTTTAATATAGGGAGATTTCTGGAGGGGCCTGACTCAATCCCACAGCTCTCTAAAACTTGATCTGAAGGTCAGACACAGGAAGTCAGAGATTTGAGAAGGATTCAATGTGCCCTCACTGGCCTGAAGAAGGAAGGTGGTCATACGGCGAGGAATGTGGGTGGCCTCTTGGAGTTGAGAATGACCCTTGGCCGACGGCTGGCAAGATGGTGGGACCTCAGCCCTACAATGGCAAGCTACTGGGTTCTGCCCACAAGATCGAACTTAGAGGCAGATTTTCCCCAGAGCCTCCAAAAGGATTCAATCTGACCATCACCTTTGTCTTAGCCTTGTGATACCCTGAGCAGAGAAGCCAGACACACTGGGCCCAGCTTGTGACCTACAGAACTGGGAGCTCACGCAGGGGTGTTGGGCGAGGCCCTAAGGTTGTGGTTCTTTGTCACCTCATCAACAGAAAGCTCATTCTAAAGCTAATACCATCCCGGGTGGCATTCATAGAAGCCGGCCACAAGTCAAGAGCGGTGAGAGCCACCTGGGAACTTGGTTTCAGCTCCGGGATCTACGTTTCTGGAGGGTCATGTCCAGATGAGAGAGTGAAGGGGGGTGGCACGTGCCAGGAGGGGCTAGCTGGGGGATAGTGACTGTTCGTGGTTGAGAGGGGGTACTCAGGGGCACGGTCACGGGCTCACAACGTATGTAGAACTACCCAGTGCAGAGGCCATCCTGTCTTGCGTGACAGGGCTAATAGCTGCCGGGAGGAGGTATCTATGGGCCGGAGCAGAACCCGCCAAGTTTCCTCAGGCCTGACCCAAAGGCACTGCTTCACTATGCAGGACCACAGCCCTTATAAAGTGGACCCACATGCTTCTAGAAGCTTCTGGGAATCTCACAAGCCGTTCTGTGGCCCGTGTGTTTGCCATTGTTTGGGCATCTCTAGAAAAACGTCCTCTCGCTCTATCTGGATTTAATGCCCACCAGGCACTGCAACCCCCTGCCGTTTCCGAGGCTCAGGCATTCTTGCTGTGCTGGAGTGGACCGAGGGATGGGTGGATCTTCAAACCCCTTCCTCTCTGACTCTCCCCTGTCCTCCCATCCTACCCTCTCTTCCTCTCCTTCTTTAATCGGTAGGCGGCACCAAAGTGTGTTGTCCCCTTACCATACAGCCTCCTGTAATTTATGTCTGCCTTAAGAAATCTAACTCAACTCAATGCCCACAGCGAGCCCCCCGCTGCCCTTGTCAAGCCGCACATGTATCAGGCATATGCTGAACAGGTGACATGTATCGTCCGACCAAGTTCACAGCCTTCCTTTGAAGTGGGTATTATCATTTACAGGTGAGCACACGAGTCACGGGCAATTTGGTGGGTGCGAGACCCTGCGGAGAGAGAGAAGGAATGATTGAATGCACGGTCGACTGCTCTCAAAGGCACATAACCCAACGAGAGTTAAACAAACAAACAAAAAGTCCGGAGAGTAAGGCGGACGCTCAGGACAGGGACATAATGTGCCTTAAGCACATGTCCTGCTGCTCCGTCCCCATCCCACTTCCTCTATGGTGTCTCCTTAGGGACATCGTGGGTCTTGCCACTCGGGCGGCCGGTGCTCAAAGAAACCTTCAGTGCCCGTCCTGTACCGGACACATTTGGTAACACAATTGGCTTTCTATCCAGTGTCAATTTGGTCCCCGTAAGGCTTTTGAAACCGGGACAGACAGAAGTTAATAAATGATTAAACCAATCATCCTGGCACATCCAGTGGCCAGGCATGACCCCCGGCCCAGAAAGTGCTCTGGTTCAGTCGAAAAGGCTGGGCCAGAGGACATAAGTCCGTGCCTGTCACTTCTCAAGGCGGAGGCCTGACAGGTCATTTCACCTTTGCAAGAGGGACCTGGTACTATTTCCCCAGCCCCGGTCAGGTGCCTCCCACCGTCTGGAATGTGGCTCGTTTTCCGGTAGGGTTACGGCCCCCGCAATGATCGTTTCATTCCTAGTTTTCACTGAGCCTTGTTCCTCTGGAAAACCTCAGCCAACCGAAGCTCGACGTTAAGTTAATGAAAGCGTGATCGTATGGTAACATTTCCCCCCCTTTCCAGCAAACATCCTATCGAGGGCGAACCGACTCTGAGCTGTGCGGTAGGAAGCAGCAGCTTTGGTCCCTGCCTGCTGGGTCTCTTTTCTACATCAGACAGACAGAGTAAATCAGCAATTAGCTGCTGAGGGTGGCTTTCGATTAGCGAGCAGCTGCTACACTCCCGTTAGTTAATGTCACCGTCCCTGCATTCCTTCTGAACGATAATTGCACTAGGTACCAATGCATATTTTTAACGGTTCCGCATTTTTGTTTAAGACGGAAAGAATGCCCTTCTCTTTCTACAAAAGCTCAGCTACAGTATTGTTGCTCCTGTAAAGAAAAAAAATAAAAAAAAATAAACCCAACCTGGGACCATTCTATCCCAACGAGTAGCCCCATGAAACCCCAGGCCGTCAGCCTGAAAAGAGGATGTTGCTCGGAACCAGTTTTGTTTGGAACGACTTTTTTGCTTGGAACCAGTTCCACGTTTGGAACCAGTGTTAGCCGAAGGCAGCGCGTGCGTGTGCGTGCGTGCGTGCGTAGGGGACGGTGTTTGTGAGGGCCCACGCGTTTCGGGAATGACAGCTGTAAATTGTCCACGGTGACGCGTTCCCTGAATATTCTTCTGGACCGCTTTCATCGGTGGGGGGAACCGTAAGCGGCAAGGGAATTCGGAGGCGTGAGTTGACGAAACCTGTTTATCTTTGTTTTGATTTCGTTTTAAACTTCTGATTTGGGGAAATTTTGGATTTACGAGAACGTTGCAAAGATAGTGAAGTGCGTTCTTCACCCAGCTTCCCTGAAGGCACGGACAACTAGGCATACGTAACCATCGTGCAGTTAGCAGAAGAAACTGATACGGGTGCAGCGCTCTTAACGGACAGACTAGATTTGGAGGGTGCCTGTTTTTCCACTCATGTCCCTTTTCTGCTCCGGGATCCAGTCCAGACCCCCACATGGCATTTAGCTGTCGTGACTCCTCAGGGTCCCGTGATCTAAGACAGGTTCCTGAGTTTTTTCTCTCGTGCCCTGGATAGTTTTGAAGAACACGAAGCAGGCATCCATTTAAATCCAGCTGATTAGGTTGGGGCTGTAGGATTTTGAGACGCTGTCACAGAGATGAAGGGCTGCGTGATATCAGAGGGTATGTGATATCAGCATACGTTATCGGGGGTGATGGGAATGTCTGCCAGCTTTCTCCAACAGAAAGATACAACGTTCCCTTTCCCTTACCTTACTCTTCGGGAACAAATCGCTAAATGAAGCACCAAATCAAGAGGAGAGGAGTTAAGTCCCACCTCCCAGTGATACATCATTTGGATTTCTCCTGGAGTGAAGATTTGGGGAATGTGCCTTATTTTAAATTTATATTTATTTGAGAGAGAGAGACAGAGAGGGAGCACTAGTAGGGGAGAGGGGCTGAGGGAAAGAGAGAATCCCAAGCAGGCCCCACGCTCAGAGAGGAGCCAGACATGGGGCTCGGTGCCGTGACCCTGGGATCGTGACGTGAACCCAAATTAAGAGTCAGACACTCAACTGACTGGGCCACCCAGGCACCCTGGGGATTGTGGCTTTAATGGAAGACCTGTCACTATGCACTTTTGGTCCAGTAACCCAAGCTCTCTCAGCCTCAGAATTTCTTTCCATGAAACGAGAGGCTGCACAAGACCCGCTGAGGGGTTCCAGCTAGCTCCTCCCTACCAATATGGCCTTAGCTAAGTTTCTTAAACTCCATTACCTTCAGTTGTCTTGTCTATAAACTGCTGTGGTTGGGAGACTGAGACAGCAGCCATAAGGCATTTTGCGCAGAGCTTGTGCATGGGGACATGTCATCAATTTCAGCTCTTGTTTGGACCAAATGGAGACTCAGTAACAGGCTAGTCAAAGTTACTCAGTAGTGGCATCAGAAAGGGTTCGTAGAAGTAGTTCCCTGCCACGTGCTTGAAAAGAATGTCTCCCATCCTTCCCGGCTTTGTTGAAACATGAGACCTATAACGCAGCTTGAGGACATTGCACACATCCAGCCTTGCCGTGCAATTGTGCACAAGTACAGTTTCGGTGAAGAAAATAGAGCGCTGAATGTCAGGTGGAAAATGGCTCCGGACCGTCTTGCCCGCTACGTGGCGAACCGTCAGCCGGTGCCTCCGTTTCCCCATCTGTTAAAGAAACACGGCCATCGCGGCTCCCGGCGCAGGGAAAACCACATGGCAGACGTTCGGTTCCTAAGCTAGGTAGATGGCTTACCCATCATAAACTGCTTATTTCAACGGAATAGACGGGCAGAAAGCCATTGATTAAGTCTTCAGAGGCACGACGCGGCATGGCCTCCAAAATGGGTAGCTGAGATCATAGCGGTGGTTTGATTTCAGGTGATAGAGTTGGGCCCCATACTAGTGATAGTGAACGTTTTATTTATTTGTTTGTGTCAGTTTCAGATGTACAATATAGGGACTCAACGGCTCCGTACGTCACCCGGTGCTCATCACGACAAGGGCACCCCTTAATCCCCATCGCCCATTTCACCCGTCTCCCTGCCCGCCTCCCCTCTGGTAACCCTCAGTTTGTTCTCTATAGTTGAAGAGTTTGTTTCTTGGGTTGTCTCTCTTGTTTTCCTTTGCTCGCCGTTCTGTTTCTTGGATTCCACGTAGGAGCGAAATCGTACGGTATTTGTCTCTCTCTGACTGATTTCGCATAGCATTGTGCTCTCTAGGTCCACACGGGCGGTTGCAAATGGAAAGATTTCATTCTTTTTTATGGCCAAATAATATTCCGTCGTGGATACATCTTCTTGACCCATTCATCTGTCATTGGGTGTTTGGGTTGCTTCCATAGTTTGGCTATTGTAAATAACGCTCCAATGAACATGGGGGTGCGTATATCCCTTTGAATTGATATTCTCCTATTCTTTGCGCAAATATCCAGTAGTGCGATTTCTGGGCCATAGGGTACTTCTATTTTTAATTTTTTGAGGAACCTTCATACTGTCTTCCACAGTGGCTAAACCTGCTACACTCTCACACGCTGATGTGTTATAAATGGCTAAGCTCTATTTAGAAAAAAAGTGCACACTTGCATATAGACAGAAGTCATGAGACTGCTCTCAGACTTTGACCCAGTGAGCCCGTCCAGGGGGCTCAAACCTAAAATAGCTGAACTGAAGAAAATCGCGACATGCATGGAGATACCTATTGTTGCCTTCTAGATGGTTGTGAGGAGAAAGGCCATCATCTAACGGGGACGGATAAGAAGTGGGAGTACCCTACATCACTCAGTAACAAGAAGTTAATTACAAGAAACGAAGCAACACAGGAAGTACTTATGGTGGATTGTGTAGAGGAAATAATAGTAAGAACGCGACACACACATTGCGTTGGAGCTGTGAAAATACTTGAGCGTGTGGACAGATACTAGAAGGAAATGTGCAAAAGTGAAAACGTGGTTCTGTTAAGAGAAAAAAAGCAGTTAGGGGCGCCTGCGTGGCTCAGTCACTTACGCGTCTGACTCCAGCTCAAGTCATGATCTCATACTTCATGTGTTCGAGCCCTGCATTGGTGTCTCTGCTGTTAGCACAGACCCGGCTTTGGATCCTCTGTCTCCCTCTCTCTCTCTCTCTGTCCCTCCCCCGCTCATTCTCTCTCTCTCTCTCTCTCTCTCAAAATAAATCAACTTATAAAAAAGCCATTAGGTAAGAGTTAAACAAATATTCTTTTATGTTAAGCGTTCCAGCAAATATTTCAAGTTCAGCAAAACAGAGGTGCTCAAATTGGTCAATGGTTTGGAATAAATACATATGGGCTCCCATGAACACCTTTTGCTGCACATAAATATCTCCCCAACCTCCCCTTTCCCTTATGTGCCCCTTAAAGCTCCTAAATAAAATTCATAGAGTCAACAGAATCATTTTTAAAGGATGAAGAGAAACAATTTCAGGACTCTATCTAAAGAGGGAAAGAAAGAGCTTTTTTCTCTTCATTCTTCAGTGGCTTGTTAGAGGTGCTCAGAGCCTGTGTTATTGAAACCCGAGGGTGACAGGCATTAAGGTGAATCTATTGCCGAGCCTGGGTCTTTAATGAGTGCATTGATCAGAGAAGAGACGCAAGAAAGCACAGTCCGGTGACACATGAATGAATATAAATTTAGCCTCGACTGAAGATCTTCCACAGTCGGCCTGTTCCCCGCTGACAGTGTGAACAGGAGGAGAGGAAAGCGATTTCGGTCCTCAGTCTTGATTCTCTTCATGCTGTTGGCAGTTTTTAAGAGCAAGTTATGACTATTTTACCTTTAAAAGCAACGGGAACTTGTCAAAGATTCCCTCCCTGGAAGTGATGATTGAGCAAGACTCTACTTGGTACCGATTTTGAATCTGAAATCAATCCGTTTGCCTGGAGGAGGAGCTACTTTTCAACCATTGGATTTGTCCAGAAATTGGGACTGGCTGCCTTGGCAGAGAGCGAGTGCCCCGTCCCCAGAAGAATGCAAAGGAGGGCAGGTTGGCCGGTTGGTGAGGAGTTTCAGAGGGGCTCAGACACAGAAGAGAGACCTGGGGAGAGGAGGAGAGCTTGATATTGGGTCACCTTTCAGATTAATCCAACGTTGGCTGTCTACCCTTCTAGGAAACCACCCAGTGGAATGATAAGGACCACAGCATTTTGGAAATAGACAGATGGAGTTTTGGATGCTGGCTTCGTGAGTTATTGTATGACATTGAACAATTCCCCATCCTAGTTCACCTATTTCTCAGTTTCTTTATTAATCAAGTGGGGACGCGAACAGGACCTGAGTCACAGGTTCGCCACGAGTTCGATAATGCACAAGAGTCCTGGGTAGTGTGTTCCCCATAGTGGCCACGGTGTAACACGTTCTCAGTTAAGTGTCATCACTATTACAATTAATTTTTCATTACATTCAGTGACGACACATCGAACCCTTCCTAGGTGCTTGGTCTTTTTACCCATGACATCTCACCTAAACTCCTGAGAAGGGGTGAATCGTGTCCCCCAGATTCACGTGCGGAAGCCCTAACCTCCAGGAGCTCAGAATGTGACAGCGTCTGGAGACAGAGACTTTCAAGAGATAATTCAGATAAAATGAGGTCGCGTGGGTGAGACCCGATCCAATACGAGTGGTGTCCTCGTAAGAAGAGATTAAGACACAGATAATATGCAGAGGGAAGGCCATGTGAGGGTACAGGAAGGTGGCCGTCTTGCAAGCCCAGGAGAGAGACCCCAGGAAACCCCAGCCCTGGTGACTCCCTGCTCTCAGACTTCCAACTTCTAGAACTGTGAGAAAATTAAGGTCTGTTGTTATAGCTACCCACTCTGTGGCACTCTTACCACAGACCTGGCAAACCGACCTACGTCTCAACCACCCTGGGACGTATGGATGATTACCTACGTTTTCCAGAAGAAGACACTGAGGCTCAGAGAGGGGCGATGACATCTTCGGGGTTACACAGCCCCCTCAAGCAACTATCGTTTTTGCCTGAGAGTCAAGGGAAGGTGACGAGGTCGGTATTTAGCACATCGTAGGAGCTCCATAAAAGGGAGGGCCTCCCTCGCGACAGAGCGGGGACACGCACGTTGCCGCCATGAGCCCCTTTCTTCCCGCCATCGGCCCCTCTCCCAACTTACTCCGAAGGGCACTCTTGCTTACCTGTTGGCCCTTACGTGTTAAGACTCCCAACTTTTCTTTCTCCCCTTTATCAGTCTCCCGACTTTGGCACATCAGCACCTTTTGATTTCTGCAGCCTCTTCAGAAGTATTTTTGACACAAACAATAGTCCCGGTTTTTGCCTTTTCAACAGGCATCAGCACAATCCGAGCAGACACTGGTGACTCATTTTGATCATCGCCTTAAAGCAATCCCCTCTGTGAGCCGGGACCTGACAGGCCTCACTGTGCCGTGGAATCTTACACTATTTTTATGCCTTTTAATCTATCTTTTAACAGCCTCCTTGTTTAGAACTCTAGGCCCTGGAGTCTCAGAAAGCACGTTTTCCAGAGCGGGGAGAACAAACCTGGCCTGTCTTAATCAAAGGCTCAGGGAGCCCCAGTCTGGGGTCCGTATCCAATCTTTAGCTTTTCTCGTGCATTCCCCCATGGTTTCCTTTTATAATAGCCTCAGCGGGGACTCCCTGCCCGCTTGGCAGGGCTGCTGGCTGCCGTCTTAATAACTGCTGAGCTTCTCCAAGGCAGGAGACTGTCAAAACGTTTCTAAAGGGCCTGAGTTGCTCAACTGAGTCACTGTTATTGGAAGGTCATTACGAAAGTGACATGTCAGGGTGAACATCAGGGATGGGGTCAGTGGTTACCTTCGGAACGCCTCCCCGTTACCCTGGGGCCACGTAGAGCCGTGGGCTTCTCCCCGGGCTTCTTAAGAACTTGGTACGTCTCCTTGTTTTGTATTCCATTTGATGTAACAAGCACTCATGAAGATTTGACAGGATGCACGCCAATGTAGTGACGTCAGCATCTTTCTATTGACTTATACGGTGAGTTCCTGCACCTCAGGAGGAGTTTAAGGTGGGGACACGGTACTCTGACCCTAAGACTCATTTCTGCTGCCCTCTGAAGATCCAGGCCCAGAGAACTGCATATGCAAGAAAGAGAGCCAGGTGGGAGACAAACCCGTTTTATTCACAGAATAGTCGGGCACACAACTTGTATCCTTTACTGCTGGGTCACTGGGAAAATTGAGCTGGAGAAAGAGATGGGGTCTGGGTCTCCTGTGGACCCCCGGTACGCTATTCTGGAAACCAAATGCTTCATCCAAGCCCCAAGATTGGCCCTGAGACCTGAACACCAGCAGCAGTGTGGATGAAGGTTCAACAGGGCCCCACAGGACAATCCTACCCCAAATGGCCGCAGCATAGGGGAGAATATGAAAGAGAGACAAATCCTGGCTTTGGGGCTTGATGGCCTTGAGCTCCTGGCCTATCAGCTCAGCATGAACTCCTCCCAGTGATTTGGGAGGTGGTCAGGAAAATCTCCTTTCCCCTACGATACAAAAATAGTCGGAGTGGGGGAAGCTGAGGCAGAGAAGGAGAAAAAACTCAAAACCCATCACAGACACCACAGGTGGATGGATTCTCCAAGGGCACCAGGCCCAAGTCACCATCGCTCAGCTGGAAACACAAGAGTGAAGGGACCTGCCGAAAGCCACGTGGTCACTGCTGAGCGGAGGAGTGGTTCGAGAGTGAGTGTCTTCATTCCCGCTCCATCCTCTCTGCCCTGGAAGAGTTTGAGGACGGATGTTCCTTGGCTGGTGATTATGGTCCAGCCACTTCGCAGCTCACACCGTAATGAGCTGTGCTCTTCCTGAGTTCCTTTTTGTCCCTCTGACTTTCAAATGAAAATGCGTCTTAGAGGAACAGGAGGTCTCTGAATGCTGTGCAGGAACCTCCTTCCTTAGCAAGTCTTTCTGCCTCCACCACAGGGTTACTGCTAACAAACTGTGATCTTGCAATGTCTCAAAACATTGGATTTCCCTTCCCTCCACTGGCCCTGTCTTTACAGCCTGGGGTCAAGCTGAGAAATGCAGTGGAATGTTGCCTTCCAGTCGAACAAATGGGAAGACAGCAGATGAATTTGATGTGACGAACTAACTATATATGGGGCTTTGTGTAGATTATTTAATATAGCAATCTTATGAGAGAGTATCCCTTTTACAGAGAGGAAAACCGAGGCATAAAAAGTTTAAATAAGCTGCCCAAGTTGACCCAGTAGGGTGGTGGTGAAGGCAGTGTTTGAGCCAGACCTATCTGAATGTGGAACCCATACTCTTGGCTTTATACAATAGCTCCCTTACATACTTTTCCATACTCACATCCCTTAATAAGATTTATCCACAATTTTTGGTTAAGCTGATAAGTAACGTTTACAGAATTATGACTATGTAAATATTGATCCCCACCAGGCAAAAGAGTATGCAGTTATGTAGACTTCAACATTTTGTTTTACCTGGAGTTAATAATTGCCTTGATTTGGGGCGCCTGGGTGGCTCAGTCGGTTAAGTGGCCGACTTCGGCGGTCCGTGAGTTCGAGCCCCGCTTCGGGCTCTGGGCTGACAGCTCAGAGCCTGGAGCCTGTTTAAATTCTGTGTCTCCCTCTCTCTGACCCTCCCCTGTTCATGCTCTGTCTCTCTCCATCTCAAAAATAAATAAACGTTAAAAAAAAATTTTTTTTTAAATAATTGCCTTGATTTTCTATGGTTTATTTTCTGCGTACCCACTATTTCTTTTCCAGCGTTCTTACCTTCTGTCATACGCTTGTCAGTAGTTCTCCAAAAACTTAAACAGTTCTACACTCTCAGTTTTATATTTTTTATAGTTACTGGAAACCTGTCTCCTACATCCCCAGAGCTTTTTCTTTCAATCTGAACAGATCACTTTCTCAGGCTGGCACACAATGGCCGTCCTGGGACTTCCAGTTGATCATCTTACGCTTCTGAGTTGAATTCTCTGTCCTTTGGATCCTGTGTTTTCTTTGTCTATTTTTTTTTTCATTTTACTAAGTGCCTCTTCCAGCATTTTTCTAGGAAAGGACTGTAGATGTAGTCCTACTGAGCTAAAGAAATAAAGATCAGAGTTCAGTGCTTGAGGAAGGTGGAATCCCTAGGGTGGGGATTTGGAGAGCAACCTATGTAGAAAACGAGTCCTGTCAGTTGATGTACGAGTCCCCGAGAGTCTCAGGCTGCACTTGGGCTGTATGTGCACAGGGCAAAGCACTCAAACCTCATCACGGAGCAGCTGTTATGGCACTGAGAACAGAGCAGAGCTACTAGAGGTCAAGCAGGGCTAGAGAAATTGGAGTTCTCGCCCTGCAGGGTAGGGAAATCCCCTTGACATCCTAGCCTCTAGCCGTGATGTCAGAAAGACCACGATTTAAGAGTAAGGACCATGCCATGGACCTGCCTTGTCTGAGTCCCGCCAAGTTAGAGGGGCTTGGAAAATGCCTTGAGCTTTCCACAGATCTGAGCAAACAAGGTGTGAAAACAAGCCTTTGCAAGTTCAAATGATTAACCCGTAGTTGCATGGTTTGGGATTTCAGAGGGTGATAACTGAAGCCAGAGCTTGTACAATGTCCTTTGCGCGATGTTCAATATTCAATAAAATTTTCAGTGGACCTTAAAAAAAAAAAACACCCAGGAAAATGTAAGCCATAGTAAAAAATGAAACAAAGCAAAACACAGTTAAGAGATACCCAAACCCAGGATAGTGTATGTGGTATGCTTAGCGAAGACTTTCAAATGATCCCTGTAAATACGTTGACGTAAAGGAAAAGTAGATTGTAATGAGTGAGCAGGCGGAAAGTTTTAACAAAAAAACGTAAACTCTGACGAATTGAGTGGAAATTCTAGAACTGAAAAGAATGAATAGAAACCAAAAGTTCTCTGAAGAGACTAATTTTCTTTATCGTTTTAAAGTGTATTTATTTTGAGAGAGAGAGCGAGTGGGGGAGGGTGAGAGAGAGAGAGAGAGAGAGAGAGAGAGAGAGAATCCCAAGCAGGCTCCGTGCTGTCAGCCCAGAGCCCGAGGCGGGGCTCGAACTCACAAACCGTGAGATCATGACCTGAGCTGAGATTAGGAGCCCGATGCTTAACAGAGCCACCCAGGCACCCCAAAAGTTCACTGGATAGAGTTACCAACAGACTGGAGATGGTGGAAGAGAGCATCAGTGAACTAGAAGATAGATGGACACAAATGGCCCAATTGGAGGACACGGAGAGGAAGGTCCAAAGACCCAAGGCTCTGGTGGTCTGTGGGGCTGTGCAGCGGTGGACGGGGCATCGGGCGGGTCGGCGCCGGTCTGCGTGTGCAGACCTCCCAGAAGTCCCAACGTGCAGCCTTGCTCCCGCCTCGCAAGTCCCCGGTGCTCCGCGTGTGCCACCTTTTGGAGGCTCTGCAGGGTACTTTGACTCACGTCTCAGAGTTCTGCTCCGCTGCTGGCCAGTTTTCCCGCTGTTCACCTCGCTCTCCCCTCTATAACCCCGAGTTCACGACAAGCTTGCTTCACGGGAAGCCCGAATGGATTAAGTGAGCCGGAGCCGGTGAGGGGCCGGGCTCGATGTTTGGCACCCAGATCACTGATGCCAAATGCTATCCATTTTCTCTCTCTCCCGCCTTCCCGCCCCCTCTTCCTCTTCCTTTTCCCTTCCCCTCCCGAGCATTATGCATTCATGTATTTCAGCCCCGTCAGGCTGCTTTCAGGACAGCGGGTTTGTAATTACTGCAGCATGGTGTATAATGTCTGTGGCAAATTTATTTCGTCTCATATTTCTTGTAAGTGTTGCTGATGCAGAGTGAACGCCTCAAATCACTCGGAGGCAAACAAATGAGACAGAAAACCCGCCGGTAATAAGGCTGGATCGGGAGGCACGTATATTTTTCAGAAACGGCTCTCTTCTCTGTCTTTCACCGTGTGGCCAGTTACAGTCTCATCTGGGGAGACGACAGTCTGGCCCTGTCCTTGCCAGCAGGCCTGACCCTGAGCTCAGAGGGAAGGTGGGGGTTTCACAGCCTGACCTTAGTCGACGCAACGGCCTTTGTGCACGGAGTGCGTCAGATGCGAGCTTGGAATGATCCGGGGCAGCCCTACGCAGGGGAGGGAGGCCGTGATCCAGGCCAAGGTGCAGGGCTGACTTCTGCGAGGGCCAGGCGGTGGGAGGCTGGGCCTGGGCTGGAACGCAGGCGTCCCCCGGTCCCGGGTTCCTCCCGGCCCACCAGGTCCAGGAAATCGCCCACTTCCTGTTCCCTCTCCTTCCTGCTTCAGTCCGTGACTGTCCTGAACCCCCGGCCCGTTGGCGATGATTCTGTTTTTAGTTGTAAGTAATTAGCTCGGCAAATATGTGCGGCACACTTTGTGGTTTCAGGAGTCGGTCCAGACACTGGAGACACAGACGAATAAACCCCTGTCCCTCCCTTCCAGGGGCCCACAGGTGGTCAGGAAGACGGACATTGAACAGGCCCTCTCAATTCTGTGTGGCTGGTGGCCGTTTGGGGACAGCAGAGAAAGTAGCCCTCCAGCCTGCTTGGAGGGGTCTCCATGAGTTTCTGGGTGAAGCTGCTTGAACTGGATTCTTTCAAACAGAGGGAGGGGCGCCTGGGTGGCTCAGTCGGTCGAGCGCCTGAGTCTTGATTTCAGCTCAGGTCATGGTCCCAGGGCTGCGGGATCGAGCCCCGTGTTGGCCGATCGCAGAGCCTGCTTGACATGCTCTCTTTGACTCCCTCTGCCCCTCTGCCCCACTTGTGAGTGCTCTCTCTCTCTCTCTCTAAACGAAACCTATATATATAACGAGAGGGACACAGAACTCATCAAAGAAGAATCAGAGATGAGGAGATGGAAGGAGCCCATCCAAGTGGGAAAAGAACCTGAGTCTTGTGGTGGGACTTGAATTTGAACTTGGGTCTGCTTGGGTCCAAAGGCCAAGCCGATGGGCTGTCTGGTGTGAGATGCAGCCCGAAAGCTCTCACCTCAAGTCCCAAAGCCCTTCACCTTTGGAAGCGCCTGTGTGCAGGACTAGGCACGAGCACAAAACCACGTAGCTCTCTCAGTGTCCCCACGGACTCCGTCGCGGGCGGCTCACCAGGGCCCGGGGTCCAAGCTCCTCGCCTTCCTCCCGCTCACTTTCCTCAGGGAGACCACGCTGGGGCAGTGGCATCCAGAAGGGCAAGGCTTACGGAGCTTGGCAAAGTATTTTCACACGCCCGCCATCCTCTCCAGGAGATCACACACGGGATAATGACAGCCTTTGGGTGGTCACTCGCCCCGAGCCCGGCGAGGCGGAAAGTCCTTCAGAGACTGTGCCTTCATTGGCCGAACCCTCAGAGCGTTCACAAAACAAGTAGGTGTTAAGTGGAGGAAATGGAGGCTCAGACAGTTGAAGAAAGCTTCCCGAGGTCACCCAGCCGCCAAACTGCAACAAGGCGTAAAGCCAGGTCCGTCTGACTCCCGCCGCACGCGGCACCACGGGAGTGGGGTGGCCATTCTCTTTGGGAATCCCAAACCCTCTCTCTGCGGTCTCCATCTGTCAACGGACAGCCCCAAAGAAGAGCAAAAACAAACTCCGTGAACAAGAATGTCCCCGGGATTTCACAGGGATCAGTGTCAAACCCCATGTGCAGGTTTAAAAAAAAAAAGCCTATTGCCCTTATAAGAGACGGGAGAGGCCTGGCTGGGAGACGGGTCAGGCGCCCGCCGTCTGAGGCTTTCTTTGTGGAAGGACAGGCGTGACCCGGGACCTCGCAGCCGCACTCGGAGCCCTCGGGGAAGAGGTGGCCGTGGAGGGAACGGAAGTCGTACTGTGCCGACCTCTGCTCAGCGTGCACCCCTGGAGGCCGCAGCTTTAGAGACCTCCCGTGATGGAACAGGCCGCCGGTGAGCAAGCGAGCGCCCTGTCCCTGCGCGTGCGCAAGCAGACGCAGAAAGGGCACGTGCCGGGGCAATTGTGGACGGGACGCCTACCTTGGATAGGAAGTGGCTGGGCAGGTAAAGAGAAACCCAGGGGGAGGAAGAGACCGTCCGGAGGCCTCACAGAGCTCCGAGGTCAGCATCCGGGTTAGGTGTCCACGTGCAGGGTCCAAGTGGCACAAGGAACTTGGACGGAGGTGGCACGCGGGACGCTTCGAGTCCAGAGGGCACAAGGCAGAGCCACCGCTCAGACCAAGAAGCTTCGCTGCTGGGCCTTCTGCACGCTGGGCCGCAGGGCCCTCGAGCGTTTGCCTCAGAAAACCTGGATCTCCAGC